GGAACTAGAATATCAAGATAAAAGAGACACCCTAACCAATCTCTCATCTTAGGTCTGTCTGATAAATGCCCACCTAAATAGGAAGGTCTTACAGAACTTCTGAAAGATGTCCAAGTTTGGTAATTTCAGACCTGATGAGCAACTGCAGAGAATGACATCTCACATATTTTAGCTAGGCAGACCCAGTGTACTGATGGCACTTGTAGGAGGGTGTTCTTGGCTGACCATAGGGATCATAATGGGGCATAAGGGAGGGTACACAGGGCCCAAAACGTTTAGGGTTCTATTGATCAAAGCCAGACCTTGAATAGCACCTGGAAAACTACTAGAAGTCAATGGAGACTCTGGAGCACTGGAGTTGTGTGTGCCTGGTGATCCACCCCCATCAGAAGGCAAACCCCATATTTCTGCACCAGCAGCAGCTTCCCAACAGTTTCAAAAGGCAACCCTGAACAAAGCACACGGCCATAGTCTAGCCTTGAGGTTATGAAGACACGGATGATGGTAGCCAGATCACAGTCTTAAAGAAAGGGTTGCAGCCTTCTCTCCAGGTGGAGTTAATGCGAGGCACTCCTAGCCACAGCTGCCACTTGAAGATCTAAGTGCAGCAGAGGATTCAGGAGCACCCCAAGGCTGCAAACCTGAGACAGGTGCAAGTCAAGGGCCTGCCAACCACCATCACTTCTCTGTCTCAATTCATTTTCATTTGGTTCACCTGAAGGTGAGTGAATGTCACTATAAATAAGAGCTCAACCATACAAACAGGCATCTATAATTTTATACCTGTAAGTGTAAGCCATATCACTTTGTTCTTTATGTTGGAAGCTCCCACTGAAGACCAGTCTTCCTTTCTTAAGCAAGGGTGAGCTTGCTTAAGAGCCATGCAACTCAGAGCCAGGGGTCTTCAGAGGTGTTCCAGCTGTGTGGGGCTTCACCACACCCATAGCATCAGGTCAGGCAGCAAGAAACTGCGTTACAGCTGGGTGGCTGGGATCTGTACCTGCACTTCAGCTGGGAGCCAGGGAAAAGTTGATGACAAGAAAAGCCAAGGCAGCCGAGTTAGACCACTAGCTCGACTTTCTTGGACCCAAGCCTGGTTGTTTTGGCCACACCTCTGAAAAGTTGCTAACCACTGGTTTTAGGGGCTGTATAAATAAATAATAAAGATGGTCCCTGATCCAGAGCTCACATCAAAAACAGGGTTCATGCGTGGCTGGTGAGTGACATGTGGCCCACCAGAGCAGTCCCATCATTCTGTACTACACCATTTTATTAAACAAAAAAAGTTGAAAAGCCAGAAACCAAGTCCTGTGCCTTTGTTGAGCACTGATTCAGTAATTCGTTCATGAACTTGCATGTGTGGTCCAGTTTCCAGCTTGCAAATGGGCTGAGGGCTTACATCTGATTAGAGTGGATACCAATAGTGGCAGTCTTCTATTTGAAAGTGTACTTTGCAGATGGGCTTCAGTGAGGTTTGAGTTGTGCAACCTTGATCTAAGATTATAATATATTGCAACTAGTAAATTTGCAAACACCTAAAGATGGAATGGAGAGCAAGGTAAGAGTGTGCTTCCATAAATTAGTAAGCTCCGTAAATCCATAGTCATTACTATGGTTAAGATTAGCCAGAATATAAAAAACATGAAAATGAATAATTTCTCAAATGTATACCACCCTTTACCTATTTTAACAATGGGGAAAACGAGAAAGTAAATAAAAGAGTTGGTAATTGTAACAATTAGTTACAAATAGTCTAACAAATAGTTGCAGCAGAAAAACAAGCACACATTAGTTGTTAGTCAATTGCCAGCACTTAACGCAAGAATGAACTGATCAAATTCTGACAGTTCTGAGCTCTTTATTCTCTTTTCAACATTTTTCCCCAATTTGTTTTCCTCACAGAGGTATCTTTGCTGCGATACAAGAGCAGCTTGCCTGCAGCTGGGATGTCAAGTGAACAAGTTCTCTTTGGAGCCAATACCTCCTTCAAAGAAAATTGAGCAATCCCTATGGTACAGCAGTGTCTGCAATGATTTTATCCCCACAAACCTGCTCATTTTCAGGTAAGTCATAATCACAAAAAGAAATGGAAGGAAGTTTTAACAACAAATCAGATAAATAATTTCTTTCATATAGATACTTGATTTGGCTGGTTTAGAACGATTTATTCTTTAAAATACCTAGTTCAAAGAGATATGGGTATGGATGTGAAAAAGAAAAAACAAACTGTGGCTTCTGTGTTTTTTTTCCAAACGTAATCTTATTGTAGAACAAAACAATTCATCCAAAACCTTTTCAAATTGTGCTGACCTTACAAAGGGTATATTCATGCCAAAATGAATATTGTACCAAATCTGAAATAACCACCCAATGGGGAGAGGGCGAGTGGGGACCTTCTTCTTATGCCTTAATATTTCTGGATGATTGCTACTGATTATTTTACCCAACAGAACAAGTCAGTGAAGGGAAACGATATGGCAATGTGAAGGTGCATGATATATAAATGTAATCAAGTCCAAGACTATAAAATGATTTATGCATACAAACTAACATAGCTTTTGTTCATTTAAATGTTAAATACAAGAATGTAAAAAACCTACCCACTTTACAATCACACGGTTTTACAGCTGTCTCAGGTAGAAGCTGCAAAACTATCCCTTCAGGACTTATCTCAGTGAGTCATATGCAGTGTCTGCTGCTTATCAGAATCACATTGAACAGAGAATATGCTTTGATTCAGAAAACTGGTGATTCTAATAACCAGCAACCAAGTAAAAAGAGCAAAGTAAAAGCCCATATGGACCCCATGTTGACCCCCCCAATCACCCATGCTTAGTTGATCAGTGGCTACTGCATAGCAATCTAGCTGCACAATGAACATCCCCATGGGCAGACTTGCTTTCAAAGTGGGTGGAAAAAAAACTTGTATGCTAGTAAGTGTACAATTCTATTAAGTGAGACTTTAACATGCAGCAGAAAATACCTGTGGTACAATACTTTTGGCATTTAGCTTTAGGTTCTTATGGCAATATGATGCTAATTATTATGTGAGATTCTAATAGCCAACCGATGTTATATATAAGCATTTTGGCAAGAGGGGACATGAAGCTACAAGGTGCAATAGATTACTTCACCTGGTTTTCATCTATGGAAACACCGATTCCCAATAACTAGATTTAGGTCAGTGGTTTCATCCCAAACCCCTTTTAATTAGATTATACACTGTGGCACTATTATTTAAGACTGTAATACCCAAACTGCAAATTCTGACCAACTTAGCATCAGATCTTGCTAACTTTACTCCTAAAACAGTACTATTGAACTCAAAATCAGCAAGACTCATGTTCACTGACTACTCACATGAATTAAGATGGTAACTTCTGGCAGTGTACAAGGAAGACTTGCATAATGTCTACCCGTATTCATACAATATATTCCTACACATACTGCAGTCAAGAACAAAACTTCCATTACTTTATACTATACAGGGCCAAGGCCTTCACAGACATAGTTTACAACCTGCAGCACAGGTGTCACAAGTGGCACAGGTAGCCTCTATGTATGGCACATGACAGATCGGGGAGGGAGCAGGAAGCACAGTGGTAGATAGGGCAGGGACCAGAAACCAAAGTAGCAGATCGCACAGAAAGCATAGCAGCAGACCAGGCAGGGGGAAGGGGATAAGAGTAGCATTTGGGGAGAGGGTAGGACTAGGCTCGTCGGGGGAAGGGGAAGATGAGGGGAGAGGATACACCGGACTGGCACCCGCAACTATAGCCCAGC